GATGTGGGTAAGTTATTTGCATAAATAACACCCCCTACAGTCTAAATTATTTCTCGTGACCACTCGTGAATTTTGTTCGTATCTGAAAAAAATCTTAGAATACGAAAACATTGATGAATGCCACAAATTCTCCTAAATCACTCGTACGCACAACTTAAGAACAAATCTGTGCGTACGAACGGTTCTTGCATGAGGCCCATTGTTCAAGAGACGGGGTACAACCTGAACAGGTCTAAAGCCTATCACATGGCCACAAAGAGACAAGCAGCCATTCACTCTGTCAGCAACACCTACTGTATGGGCCTAACCTACATGTTTGTGGTCTTTGAATGTCACGGGGAGAACATGCAAATCTCCACCCAAAACTGTCACCAGCCAGGATTCAATCCGACAACCTTCTCACTGAGAGGCGACAGCTTTACTACCTGAGCCACCGTTGAAACTATATTTAAAAAATAAAAAGTAATTAAACATGATAGATAATAGCTACGTGAATCAACAAAAAATCAAAACGTAAAAAGAAATACACGATGAATACTTTTATTTTTAGTCAGGAAAAATGTATCATTTATTTACACGTTGAGAAAAATTAAAAAATGATATGCCCATGACATCGAACCGAGGATTATGTCAAATTTGGTCAAAACAACCTCGGCACATTTTTAGAATGCCTTGATTTGTTCTCCTCATCAGGATAAATGATTGATATTTGGACTGAATTCAATTTTTATTTCTATTGCGGACTTTTTGACATCATTTTTATGAAGAAACCTCAAACTATTTTTGGATGTTAAGATTTACCAGCTGGAAAGAAAAAATAAATTTTAGTTGAAGGGAAAATTACAAAAATTTAAGACTCAAATCAGGTTTTTTGTAGCTACTGCTCAAAAAAGGCCTTTAAAAAAGTCTTGATTATATTTCAGATATATTTTTTATTTAAACATGCATAGATAAATTATTTATTCATGATATTTTGACTAAAGATGTCTATGTGACTTTATCCTCTGTTTGATGTCACGGATAACTTATTTCAGTCATCCACTAGAGGGCGCTCATCCTTTGTGGCTAAAATACCAGGTTCCAGTCCTGTGCTGATTTAGTCGTATGACGACAGTAGAAACTGTGTTGAAGTGCTGGTCAAAAAGTAGAAACAAGAACGAAGCAGAGGAGAGGAGTGTAAAAGTTGAATAAGACGCCAAGGTGCTCAAGAAAAAGAGAAGTGTTAAACCAGAAGATCTGCCTCAAGCAGATGAGCTCAGAGGTCTTGGAGTTTGGTTCATGAGGGTTGGTGGAGTGGAACGTGGACCGAAGATTCAGGGCCTAATTTTCAGAGCTGAGGATGTCGCTCCAATCTGTCAGGGTAAAGAGTAAAATGAGCTAAAAGGTACAGTATGTACTAATTTTACTGCTTCCAACCCTCATCAAATTGGAATAGATTATAATTATAGTGTTCGTAAGTTATTATTTCACCTGGTAGTAACATCTGACAAGGGGGTGGTAGAGCATGGCTGAGGTGGTTATAACTTTTTTCACTTCTGGGAAATGGCATCAAAGCCACCCAACAACTTGTAGCAGGGATTGCTTTCAGCAATGCCACACAGACCCCACTACGATGACTGGAATGATCCTCCCGTTCTGATGGATCCTTGACAAGGAGGTCATGTGGATGTTGAATGCCTCAAAGTGGGACTTGAGGCAGTTTTAGTAGCAATAGCTTGTTTCTAGGTCCACTGTTGCACGTGACTGAGGATCATTTTGACCTTCCTACTAGAGAACAACTACGATCATTGTGCAAAGTCCGAACAGTTCCTTACTTCGATACCACAGGTGTCTGGCTAATGTCTCGCTTGTGACCTTGGCAATGACAGAGTCAGAACTCAAAATTTCACATGCTTGGCATAAAAACAAGGGTTGAGCAGTGAAATTTTACCTTGTTTATTTTGTCCCCCAAATGGAGCAAAAACAATGAAGAAGCACCTTTGGAAAAGTAGAAGTTTGTATTATGAGACAACCCTAAGGTGCATGTTCCAGTCCTGCTACTGAGATGTGAGGTTTGTTTCATTGGGTTAAAATATCCCCACGTGTCGTCAGGTGGAAGAGGAATGGCGAGCGTTGGTGGCCCTGAAGCAGGATGCAGCTGTGAGGTCGCTCGGCCGCCGCCTGGGGAAAGAGGCAGCACAGGCCAAAGTGCAGTCGGTCCTAGCGGAAGAGCAGCTCCGGCAGGATGAGCTGACCGAGGCTCGCCTCAAGCACTTCAAGCTGAGGTTCGAGATCCGCAGGCTGGAGGCAGAGCTCCGTGAGAGGGAGGAACAGAGCAGGGACCCTCTGCAGATCCAGTTTGAGCAGCTGCAGGCCAGGAGGCTGGAGGAGAGAAAACAGGCTGAAAAGCAAACTGAAGAATCTCTAAAACTGCAGAAGAAGATCAGCAGCTCCTTGGAGGTAAGGCATATATACACCCCCTGGATGTTTTAGCTTTTTTAAAATCTATTTGCTGTCATGAATCCATCATGACCCATATTAATTAGCTTACTGAAAAAACTCCTAAATGACAAATCAAATTTGTACGTAGAGCGATGAGTTTGCAGCACTTTCAGGGTTCAGAGCCTCCCAAACTCATTGAACCCTAACCCTAATTGACCTAAATAAAATGGCACAGTCAAGTGTGTTTACAGACAAAGATGTGTAGAAGTGTTTCTGTCCTCATGCTGTGATGATCATGACAGATCAGACCTGTTTTTAATGCAGTGGCCCCCAAGGGCCCAAAGATCACAGCAGTCCGGTAATGACTTTCAGCCTTGTCTATGAGCTCAGAGATTTCTTATACTACTTATAATACTTATAATCTTTTGATGTTGTGAACTGTAGGTAATAGAACATTTAAACTATTTCCAATTTTATGTTGAGAAACATTGTTCTTAATTATTCCACTATAGACATTTTTTGCAGACCAGTGAACTCCTTCACATATTTACTTCTGACAGATTCAGCCCCTCTACAAAGCTCTTTTTTTCCCAGTTTTCTTACTGACATGGTGATATTTAACCTAAATCGTTCCTTCAACTATTCCCTATTTGGACCACAGCCATTTGTTGCTCCACTTTTAGTCGTGTTGCTGACATCAAAATCAAAATAACCTTTTTTACTTTTATCATTGAAAATGTTTACTATGTTATACAGTGAGTAAAATCTGTGAGATTTATTGCGTGATTAATTTTGTTCACATTTTTCACAACTTTGTAGGGCTTAGGGTCGTGTGTTCAACTTGTGGAGAACCGTATTTAAATTGTAGTTTTTTTTTTCCTGCTTTGACAGCTCCTGTCAAACGTAAAAGAGAAGCTGTTCTGGAGCCAGACGGAGGTCCGGGCCAAGCGACAGCAGCTGACAGAGCTGGAGGCCCTGGTGGCCACAAGGAAGGACCTCCTGACCCAAACCAAGCAGACACTAAACCAACTCCAGAGGGACAATCTTAGGCTGAACGAGCGCCGGGGACTCCTGCGGAACAGGGTCCTGCTGAGGGACTTTGAGGACACTCTGGATGCTTCAGACCACCTGGAGAAGCATCTGGAGGATCTAAAGTACCAGCAAGCTCAGACGGTCTTCAAACGTGGCAGATGGAGGAAGAGACAGGAGACAACTTTAATAAATGAGTAGGAAAAAAGGTTCAAATGAGCACATTGTTATTTTTTTTTCAACAATGATTATGGTGTTAAAGAAAAGATATCAACATTTATTTTTCGGTGAATTTACAACAAAATTTTTACAATACAGGTTTTGTCAAAGCATTTTTACACGTCTATATTTAAATGAATGAATAAGTGAAAAATAATTCACAGACAAACGAGAGTATTCATTAATGACTGCATCTGTGTGTACATGTTTTTGCTACCTGGTGGATGATTTTGGACTTTTTTCTTGGTACACACAGCCTGGTGGGGACCCACTGTTCCTAATTGGGACAAAAGCCCGGTCCTCATTGGTGGGTCAAGGGTGGGTTTAGAACCAAGGTTTAAATTGAGTTAAGGTTTGGTTTTGGGCTATAGAAGTAACTGGGAAATGAATGGAAGTCAATGCAAAGTCCCCATGAGGATAGGAGAACAAACATGTGTGTGGGTGCCCTTGTTTTTGCTACTTGGTGGGGACGATTTTTCAGGAAAATGCAGCCTCGTGGGGACAGAATGCTCCTTGTGGGGACTAAAGCCCAGTCCCTGCGACTTCAGAGGCTGATTTTGGGTGAGGGGTTTAGGATCAAGATGTGAATTGAGTTGAGCTTAGTTTTATGGTCAGGTATTTCCATAGCCTTACCATAAACCTAACAGGAACATACCTGACCAAAACTGAATCTTAACTCAATCCAAACCTTGGTTCTAAACCCCACCCCTGACCCACCTGTGAGGTTAATTTTAGGGTGAATAGTCAGGGTTAGGATATAAAATTTCCAAAAAAAATGAATGGAAGTCAATCGAAAGTCCCCACAAGTATAGAGAGACATAGTAGGTGTGTGTGTGTGTGTGTGTGTGTG